ACGTGTGTTTAACACTAAAAATAATTATTATTATCATTAAAATCGATGTAAATTTACTTTTTTTTCTTTTTCAAACACAAACATAATAATAAAGAACAAGAAAACGATGATTAAACGATCTCTCGTTTGTTTTGTTTTTTTTTTTTTTTTTGATATTTTTAAACTCGTTAGGTGTTAACAATCATACTCGACTTTTTACAATAATTAAAAATAAAAAAATACTATTATTTGTGATAACAAATTTTTCGTTATCTAAACACAAAAACAAACATTTAAATAGATCGTGTAGTTGTGTTTGTAGTTGTTTGTCTGATTGTATTGACTTATTCGTTTTTTGTTTTTTTTTTGTTCACAAACGAATAAGTCGTATATTAAAATTGTCTTAGTTACCTACAACATCTTTCAATTTTTGGTCATAATTTTTTTTTAAATAAATTATGTTTGTTTCATTGATTTGTTTAAAAAAAAAAAAGCACATTTATTTACATTCACCACAATAAACTAATCGTAATAATAATAATAATAATAATAAAATTTCAATTCATTAATTAGTAAATAACCGATAATTATTACAGAGGGAAAACAATGATTAGTAACTGTTATTGTTGTTGTTGCTGCTGTTATTGTCGGTTTCAAAAGGTCTCAAGAAATGTCGTTATTAAAGGAAATGCACAGCATGAGAGAGAGAGAGAGAGAGAGAGAGAGACGAAAGAAAAAGAAAAAGAAAATAATAATAAAAAGTCAAAAAAAATTTTTTTTCACTTTGTTTCAATGAGATAACTTTCGAATGTAGTAAGTAGTTAGAGAATACATTGGAGAAGAAAAAAAAAAAAAAAAAAAGTGTAGAAAAATATCAAATTAAAAGAAAAAGGTGAAGTTTGTTCACCTTAAAAGCAGAAGAAGACGAAGAGAGAAAGAGAGAGAGAGAAACTCGTATGAAACATAATGAAATTAATATTATTTACAACCGTGATAAAATTTCATTATCATTAATTGTTCAAAAGGGTCAAAGCCATTTGAAGCTAAGATTTTTTAAATTTCTATTTATTACTCGTGAAATTGCTGTAATGGTGGTGGTGGTGGCCCTAATACAAACAAGAAAACGATCAAGTGTACCTTAATTTTTTTTTTTTTTCGTATCTTCTGCTTTTTTTTCCCCTTTCTCCCCCGTTTTCCTACAGATAATAATAACAATACTCGGGTATGATTTCTCGTACTCACGAGGTGTTCATTACTTCTCTCTCTCTCTCTCTCTCACTTCACCCGCAAGTGACATTGGGTAAATGAAAGAACAAATTCGCGTTAAAGAGAGAGAGAGAGAGAGAAAAACGAGAACGGAGAGAAAGAAAGAAAGAAACACGTTGCCTCGCGCATGATTTCATCACAAGTTTTTTTTTTTTTTTTTTTATTCCATAAAATAAAATAAAGTTACAGATGGCGTTAGCGATTTGGAAAAGGTTCTTATTCGTCTCCGTACGTTCGTTCGTTCGTTCGTTTGTTTGTTTGTTTGTTTGTTTTTTTTCCAAAATAATATCAATCGTCGTTCGTTCGTTAGTTAGTTAGTTAGTTAGTTCCCTGCTTGATAACTGTCACATATTATTTTAATCACAGAGTTAATAATTGATTATCGTCAATTTTTTTTTCTAACGTTATTACCCCGCCTGGAAAAAAATAATTAAAACTAACGATTGAAATTATTTTGTTTTTCGGAAAATTTTTTTAAAATAAGTAAAAGAAACTACGATTACATGACGATGATAAATAATAAAACAAATTTCTTTTTTAAAAAAAAACTAATGGCTAAAAAAAAAAAAAAAAAAAAATTGACGGGAAAAACAAATATGATACGGGGTCAAATCGGGAAGTTTTTTAGTTCGGGCTTACCCAATAATAAGCTATTCCAACCCGGGGTTTTTTAATTGAAACCCTTAGATTTGCATGGGGGACGACGTCCTCGTCGTCGTCGTAATAATAATAATAATAATAATAATAATAATAATAATAATACCAAGGGGGGTGGATCATGTTTTAATTCGTTTTTTTTTTTTTTTTAACGTAAAGTAATCGGCGAATAAAAAAAAAAAAAAAAAAAAAAAAAAAAAACAAAAGCAGAAGTGAAAATATATCAAAAAAAAAAAAAAAAATTTTATTTCGTATCGAAAGTAAAAACGAACGGACCGATTTACGCAACAACTCGATTTAGGTCCCACTGCCTCCCCCCCTCCCAGCTTCTCCTTCTCCTTCTCTTTCGAGAGAGAGAGAGAGAAAAAAACAAAAACAAAAAATAGTAGTAATAATGATGATAAAGTATAAAAGTACGTATGAAACAATCGATGGTAATTTAACCGGGGCTCGTACGAGACCTAACCTTGCAACCGCTTAAATTTAATAATAATAATAAAAAAATTTTAAAATTTAAAAAAAAAAAAATCGTTTTTCAATCCATTGATTTTATTATTATTATTATTGTTAAGGATTTAGTCCTAAATAATTTTTTCTTTTTTTTTCCCTGTTCAAACCGCAGGAGAAAGAAAATCTATTTTCGTTTTTTTTTTTTTTTTCACAGAGTTGGTTAGTCAAAAGCAGTGTTGCCAAACCAACTTGAATTAAGATTGTAAACAGAAAGCATGCCATTTTTCCAATAAGACCGTCGAAGTTATTGGTTTTAAAACATTTGTTAAATGTACGTGACATTTCACCCGAAGGATTTTGATCGTCGACATAGGTACGGGTAAATTTATTGTGGTTTTTAGTTTAATATTCATTTAAAAATTTCAACATGTAGGGCATCGAGGTTATAGTAGAAACATAAAATCATTACCCTGGGTCATTTGGGACTTCGGCAGGTGATCCCCCAGTGATGGAATCCTGGGGTTGAGGCTCCATTACAAACTGAATTTTGAAAAATTTCTAAAATAAACACTACACTAAGAATATATATAAATATATATATACCGGGTGTGTCCGTTTTTAACTACAGTAGCAACTAACACGAGCCACAGACTACACGGTACTACGAATGCGCTGTGCGTATCGTGTTGATCGGCTAAGTGCAGGCGGGACAATGCGCGCGCAAACTCCTTTCACTGATCAAAATTCTAATCATCTGATTGGTTAAACGATTCCTATGACGTCACATTTCTTTAACTTTATCGCTATTGAATAAAGACTTAACTGCCATCTTTCTTATTTTATCCGTATTATCATATTTAAAATAAAGTAAAAAAAAAAAAAATTTTCTTTTTTTTTTGTTTTTATTTTATAACTTTTCATTTTTAATAAATTACAACTAACAAACTATTTACTTTTGTTTTTTTTTAACGACTACATTGATTAATTAACAATTATTTTAAGTACGACAATAATCTCATTCCTTCTTGAATCATCTTCTATATCTCTTACTAAAACAAACAAAAAAAAGCATTTTAATTTTTTCATTATCATCAATCCAGAGCAAAAAAAAAAAAAAATTGAAAAGTTTATTTTATTTATTAATTTTATAAAACTTTCGTTAATTGAATCAAGTTAAATAATGATCAAACGATTTTAATATCAAAACAATCAATAAAAACAAACTATAATCATTATTAATCACCATTTGTGTGATTTTTTTTTTTTTTTTTTCAAAATGAATTCCCGCCAATTATTACAAACAAAAGACAAAAACATAAGATAAATTATTTAAACTTAAAAATGCACAATTATATTAGAATAACAGTTTTATTTGAATATTATTGTCAAATACAATTATTATTATTATTTTTTTTAAAATCAATATAATTAAATTAATCTATATTACTAAATAATACTTTGATTGTATTAATTGATAATCACCATATTTTTTTTTCGACTAATAAATTAAATTAACTAAAATATATAATAATAATAAATACTTAAGTTACAATATCATTTTTTTTAATAAATAATAAGAAATTTCACAATTTACCTTTATTATTCGTTTAATAATATTTTTTTTTATAAAGTTTATCACTTTTATTTAATTAAGTGATATAAAACAACAATTTTTTTTTGAATTTTTAACAAACGATTAAGATTTAAATTTTTTTTTTATAATACATTTAATATAATTAAACAATTTCTGCAAATTTTTTTTTTTTTTTATCAAGTTAACATTAAAAACAAAAACAAAAAGCAAAAATTTAACAAGAGTTTATAATTATTTTTATTGACTTAAATAATATTTTAAAATTTTACTATCAATTTTATTATTAATTTAATTATTATTATTATTTTTTCATTGTATTTTTTTTTTATTTTAATTTTTTGACAACATACAAATCGTTTAAACATTTCGAATAACTTTTTCCTTACATTCCTTTTTTTTTTTTTTTTTTTTTTTTTACAGAAACTAGCTGGTTTACAAAAAAAAATTTATTAAAAAAAAAAAAAACTAATTAAAAATATCATTTAAAAAATTAAAAGTGTTTCGATAAAAATAAAATAATTAAAATTTTTTTTTTTATTTTTATTTAATACCAAAATTATCGAGTTTTATGCTTATTTTCAAAAATGAAATTTAAAAAAACACAAAAAAACTTTTCTCGAGAAAAAAATCTAAAACAACTAAAATGATATAAAGATATATCGTAATTTTTTTTCATTTTCTTCTATCATACACATTTTATTTTACTAACTGAAAATAATTTTCTAATTAAACTCATACTAAAATATTTGGAATGAAATCCCATAAAATAATATTATTCATAAAATTGAAATAAAAACTAATAAATATATGTATATTTATTTATAAGTGTATTCGAATATATAAATATTATTATATAATTATATAACTCAGGAGGTACATTCGATAAATGATATTAAAAAAATTTAATAATTGAAAAAACAATAATAATAATAATATCTGAAATAAAATTAATAATAAATTTTCTAATTGCACTATGAATTTTTTTGTAAAGATCAGGTAATAATAAACGTTTGGTATCAGTTATAATTAAAAAAAAAAAAAAAAAAAAACAATTTTATACTTTATCCGAAGAATTCAACTTTGCAGGATTTTCATTATGAAACTCTTTATACTGAGAAAAAACACTAATCTGAAAATATAATTATAATTTTATTAATATTATTTTAATATTATTTGTAATGATGATTTAATTAAAGTTATGTAAATAATTTGAAAAACAAACTTTATCTTTCAGCTGTTGAGCAAGCTGTAAGGCCACAGTAAATAATACAAGAACTTCATTAGTCCATGAAACTGAACATTCTGCCTGTAGTGTATTGAAAGTCATTGTATTATTTTCGGTACTAGGCTGAATTTGGTAAACTGCTAAAACTATTTTATGACTCTGAATGTAAAAACTTAAAGCCAAGTCTTCTGGAAGATTAGGCGCCAAAAGTTTCTAAAATCAAATAACAAATTTACTCGTACTTAACTATTATTACTGTTATTTATGCTTTTAATCGCAACAAGTTTCTACACTTGCCAGTGTTTTTTGTAATCGGTTTCAGGATTTCACCTGAATTCTCAAATATCATTCTCATTAATTGTAAATTTGTATTTAATTACTTTTTTTTTTAATTTTTATCAAAATAGTTATTTACTTACAAATGACAGCATAAATTAAGCATTGAATAATGTTTAAAAACTAAATTTGTAAAAACTAATATAGTTTATGACATCATACAGATTAGACTTTATAAACCTCAAAGGTTTTTGATAAAAAGAATGGCTTAGAACTTTATATTTACAGAGTAAAAACTTGTAGAAATTTTTTTTGTTTTAAGTAATTTTGACAAATTCAATTGTTTCCTTATTTCAACTGGTTTTAAAAAGAAATTTAAATAATTTATTTAAAAACATACCATATTTCTACTTTTCATAAGATCATCGATGGTTTTTTTACGAGGTATTATGAGACTAGTTCTTCCCCTTTGCAGTGCACTCAGAACTTTACCAAGAACATGGAGGACTTCTTCACTTGAATTAAAATTGTAGTCTTTTTCAACACTATTAGCAAGTCTTAAAGCTTGCTGTAAATGATTTGCAGCATCTTGAATTTGTTGCAGCTTCCAAGGATTATCATGAGTAATAGCAGTTTTATATGTTACATATTGGTGTCTTTGAATTTTAAAACTTATCTCTCCGAAAATAATTGTATCACCACATAAAACAATATTACTCTTAATGCTATCGGTTAAAGAAGTAAGGGTGTACTTTTCTTGTTTCAATTGCCCTTCACTATTGGATAATAAAACAGGAAACTGTTTTGCACATTCCTGCATAAAATATATAAATTACCCTTTTAAGAAAATATTTGTTAAACTATAATTTTGAAACAGTATAATTTAAAAAATAACTTCATTTTTGAAATAAATTTTTTTTATATTACTCATGACTTACGTTTAAAATTCTTTGAAGTTGAGAAAATACAGCCGGGACTTCTTCGTTAAGAACCCACTGAAACTCTAGTTGCTATAAAATAAAAAAAACATATAATAAAATTAAATATTCAAGTAAAAAATCATATGATATTAGGAATCGTATTTAAAAAATTATATTACAAGACTAGTAGCTTCCTCTTTTTCACCCTCAGCCATTTTTTGTTACAATTATACAACCAATTAAATTTATTTTGATACAAATCATCAGCCATTAATTATATAAATACATTTTAATTATTTAAACATTCACGAAACAAAACACTTAAAAAATTTTGAACATGAACAAATTTTGCATAATTACGTATAAACCTGATAAATTCGTAGATAAAGTATTATGTCAAATAATCGATTGATAACTCGAAAATGCGGATGTCAATTATTACAATAAAAAAAAATTTATACTAAGAAAATTCGAAAAAATATTTGACGGAAATTATTTATTAAAAAACAAAATAAAGAATATATTAAAATAAATAATAATATATTAAATCATACTAAATCTTATGCAAACATTTAAAAAAAAAAAAACAAATTTTTTTTTTACAAAATAAAAAAATAGAAAAAAAGTTTTGGGGCCCAAAATTAAATTTAAGTAAATTTTTAAAAGCGTTTTAAATTAACCCAAAATTATTTGTATTTAAAAGTTGTAATATTTAATATTTATTAATAATAAATAGAAGTATTAATTATTGTTTCTTTGATTGCTAAAATAAAAAAAAAAATAATAATCTGAGAAAAATATTTTATTTTTTTGGGGCCCTTTTTAATACGATAGTTTTTTGACAAAATGTAAACAAGTCAGTTTAATTAATGACAAGTCAATTTTTTTTTGTAATTTATCGTCCGATATTATCGTAAACAAATTTGTTTGTAAAAATGTGTAATAAAACTATTCTGTTGCAATTAATAAAGAAAAAAAAGTTATGTAAAATAAAGAACGATAAAGACCCTTAAATTAATTATTCATAAAAATTTTATTATGTGAATTACATATGAAAATGCCGCCAGATGAAACGATTGTAAAAAATAATTTTACATCAGACAAACAAAACAAAAATAGAAAAATATTAAATCCACAAGCCAAAGAATTAATTTTAAACGTTGTAAATTTTATGAAGCAAGAAGCAAATGGTAATTTTATAATTCCAGCAAGAAAAGTACAGTGTCGTGTTGCTGCGGCTACTGGATTCTCCGAGCGAACTGTACGTAGAATAGTTAAAGAATCTAAAACTTTATTGATGATTAAAAATACGACAGGTGAAAACAAGAGTATTATTTTTCCTCCGAGAAAAATTACCAATAGGCAAAAGCCCAAAACTGGATTAGATAAATTGACACGCTGTGTAGTTCGTAAAATAATCCACGGTATATACGTGAATGATAAAACTGTTCCCACTATCAAGAAAATTCATCAAAAATTAATTAAAGAAATCAATTTCAAAGGTAGTAGCAGATCTACTCATAAAATTATCAAAGAGGTTGGATTTTATTGGAAGAAGAGTAGTAATACTAAAAACTTTGTTTTGGTCGAGAAAAGCGAAATCAGACAAAAAAGAGTAGAATATTTAAAAGACGTTAATAAATTTAGAAAGGAAGGAAGAACTGTAATATATGTAGGCGATTTGTTCATATCAAATTTAGATAAAAACAAATTGGAAGAAAATTTTATATTAATTCATGCAGGAGGAGAAACAGGTTTCATACCTAATGCACTTTTAATAATACAAACATCTAATTTAAAAGAAGATTATTTTAAAGAGTTGTCAGATCATTATCAGTTTTGGATAAAAAATAAATTAATTCCTGCTTTACCTCCTAAATCGGTGGTGGTCATAGATGGAGTTATATATCAAAAAATACAATTAGAAAAAATTCCAAATTTAGATTCCTCTGCAGATGATATGAAACAATGGTTACATTTGAAAAACATTAGTTTTTGCGATGACATGATGAAACCAGAACTTTATGACCTTATTAAAATTCATTCTTCTAAATTTCGTAAACAAAAAGGTATCATTGAACAAATGCTTATGGAAAGAGGTCATTCTATTTTGAAATTACCTCCAGATCATCCTGATTTAAATCCCATTGATCTTATGTGGGCAGATATGAAAACTTTTTTGATAGATAATATAAAAACATTTGATTTAAACAGTTTAAAAATCCTATGTCAAGAAAAAATAAACAATTTCGCATTGGAAACATGGCTGATGAAATGTAATTTAGTTAAAAATGTAGAACTTCAATATTTGAACAGTGAAATTATAAGTGAATAAAATATTAAATTACTTTCCTAAAATTTAATATTATATAGTAGTTTATATTTTTAATTAATGTATTTTTTTAACTCATTAAATAACAGTAATAAATTAATTAATTTTCATTCGAATGATAATTATTTCATAAAATTAACAATTACTTTAAAACGTTTAAATAATATTACATTACTAAATACTGACCACCAATTGTTATTGTTCTAGCTCCATTAAATATTTCTCTTACTACTGACACTACTTTCGATTATATAAAAATTTTTATAAATTTTCACTCAATATTATAATTAATATTTATTTTAATTTATTTTCCTCGAACCAAAGAGCGGTATTTATTAAGCCATCAATGTGAACGGGAACTCCTCCTAATGTGTGATTACCATCATACATGTTAAGTCTAAAAAAGATTATACGTTCATATTAAGATTTTATTGAAATAACATAAGTTAATTAAAATTATTTTATGAAACATTTGAAACTTACCTAACTTTGACTTTTCTTGCCTTAAGAGCGTTATACATTCTAACACCTTGATAAAAAGGTACTCTCAAGTCTTTTTTTCCTACCAAAAATAAAGTAGGAGTTTTTATTTTTTCTATTAATTGAATCGGCGATACTTTTACCATTTTATTTACATCGTCTAATGTTAAAGGTTTACTTTCGTCGAATTCCAAATTCGTTTCAGCGCTTGACCAATCGGGAATATCGGACATTGTATACATTGAGTAAACGTCGGTAACTCCATTAACATTTACTACAGCACGATAAAATTCCTGATAAAAAAAAGATTTCAATGATCATTGATTGAAATAAGAAATTTAAATGAAAAATAATAAAAAATATTTATTCTCATTACCGGATGTTGTCCGCTCAATTGTCCAACTAAAAAACCTCCGAATGATTTACCGTACAGGAAAATATTATTCTTATCCAAAAAGGAAAAGGTTCTTAAAATTTCGTGGACGGCATTTTGCATATCTTTTACATCGGTATCTCCTATTTTTCCTCTTAAAAAATCTACACCATCTTGTCCCACGCCTAAAACAAATTAATTTAAATAATTACCAAATTGAAATTCACAGAAATTTTGTACAGCTTTATAAAATAAAAATTTCTAGGATTAATATCCAAAATATTTTACCTGTTGAACCCCTGTAATTAACAGCCAAAATACCATAGCCTAGGCTTACAAAAAAATTAAATTCGATGGAAAAATCGTTAAAAACTGCTGAATGCGGACCCCCATGAGGATAAACTATTAACGGTATCATTTTATTAGTTTCGCTCGAAGGTGGCCCATAATAGAAAGCGTTGTAATAATCTATTAAAAAAATATTTTGTTTTTCATAAAACAAAATAATTTTATTTTAACATTTGAATTTTTTTCATTACTCTAAAAATAGCTTTACATCATAAAAATAAATTAAAAAACATACTAAATGTATTTTCATTGCCATTTTCCGAGAGTTGAAATTCTAATTCTTTGTACATAAAATTATCATTAATACTTTCTGAACGAGTAACAGGAATCCATTTTAAGTCTGTTAAAGATTTTGAAAATTCTAAACTTGGAGGTTTTTTAAAATTAGCCGTGGATATTAAAATTATATCGTTATGTACGTCTAAAATTGTAGAGCTTCCATCAGTAGTATTTAACTGATGAATTTTTTTTGTTTCTGAAAAAAAAAAAAAGTGAGAACCAACTTATTATTATGAACGTTTTTCACATCAATGGATTAACTTGATATAAAAATTTTTAAAAATAAATTTCTGATGTGTTTAATTAAAATAATTAAATTAATTTACCTAAATCTAAATAATATGATACAATTCTATTTCTGTTCAAAGAACTGAAAAATAATTTTAAACCATTTTTTGAAAAACATCTTTCGGGTAAACTTTGCAAGTATAATCCTGAGAATTTTTCATCTCCCTTTTTAATGATATCAATCATAACTTCTTTCTACAGAAAAAAATAAAATATAATATATATATGTAAATACTGAAAAAAAAAAACATTACTAACGATAAAATTTACATCATTAAAAACTAACCTCTTTGGTTACAAGATTCATTTTAATGAGCTCATGACAGCCCCCATGAGCACCTCCAACTGCTCTCTGTAACCAGAAAAGACTTTTTCCATCTAAACTTAAACGAGGAGAATGAACTGATTTTTGAGGTTCTGATAATATTTCTGAAAAAAACATTTGAAAATGACTAATGATATGTCTTTGAAAATTTAAAACCATAAAAATTAATAAGAAAACTTGATAATTTAACATCAAATAACTTATTCATTGAAAAAATAAATAAATAAATTGATAATTCTTACTGAATTCTCCCTTAGAATCTAGACAAAAAATATAACTTTCACGATTAGTACAATAAATTAAACCTAAACGTCTAGGCTCATTTTCGAAAACAACACCATAGATATCGTTGCCATCTTTAGACCATAAAACTTGTGCTGGCGAATAATGTGATGGAATCCCATCGACAACTTCTAATGTTTCTGAAGCAATGTCACACATTCCAATAATTGATTGATGTTTTTCAATTAATTGCTCACCCCAATCTGGTTTGTATATATATTCATCACCCTAAATTAAAAAAGTTTAAAGAAATATTTTTGATATTATCAACATTAATAGTAGGACAATAATCAACAAAAAAAATTTTTTATAAAATCTATTAAAATCAAAATTTAAACTATGATTTTTT